TACAGGCAGGAAAGGTGTATTTTAGCAGTTTGATAGCCTATAGATGTTTTATAGTTTTGAGGTCTCATTTTTTCTTTCTTGGGGGACCATGTCAGAGCTGGAAGGGACAGACACACAGGAGCCAAATCTGTAGCTAGGGCTTCCCCGAAAATAATGGGAGAGTTCCCAAACCCTTGTGGCAATTGAGTAACAGTCCAAAAAGGGCGTATTGATTGGGAACCACAGAGTGCATGGTGACGGCTGTGTTGTTAATGGCGCAGAGATCTTGTCCAAGGTGATTAACAGTCTATCAGGCTGATGTGTGGCTGGATGCCTGTTTATGCTTCCCATGACCTCTGACAGCAATGGGGGTCATGTTGGGGTCACATGTTGATAGCAAGGCCCAGAGGTGAGTCTTTAATCCATACCTCTGGGAGGAGAGTTTTCAGAACTTTAGGATTGTGGTTATTTGCCTCAGATTGTGGTTATCTCTCTCTCTCTCAGGCAGATGCAAGCATTGTCTTCCTCTTGGGGAATAGTCAAAGTTGGAAGTGAAGGGTTAAATGAGAGGGAGGCTGACTGGCTTGGTGAGCTTCTAACTTGGAGAGGAGGTTTCTTCCCAGAAGCAGTATGGGGACTGGCTTATATAGGAATTCATGTTTGGTGAGATATTCTTTCAGGCTGCAAATTTTTGCCCGGCAGAAGGGGCAAGAGGCAAGAGTCCAAGTTGCCCTGGTGATGGTAACTTTTTGAGAGAGGGAACTTTTAAAACCAGAGAATTCTGTTCCATTGTCTACCAGGAAAGTCACAGGTTTGCTCCCAACTTTTGCAATGATTGCAGGCTCCTGGGGGCCCAATTTGATAGAGCTCAATCAGTCCTATCCATCCAGGCCTGACAGGGCAAGGAGAGTGTTGTAGTTGAGGATTTTGCAAGGGGAACAATATAATGCAGGACACATATTTTATAGGATTATTTATAATAATCAAGCACCTAAATAATCATACACAAAAAATGTACAAAAAGCTGTCTACACACCAAAGACCAAAGGATCCAGCTGAGAGCCTGGATCCCACAGTAATGTCCAGAGTACATTATTGTCCAGCTGCGTGAGTCCAGCTGAAGACCTAGAGCCCATAACAATGCCTCCCATGAGTCCAACTGGAGGCCTAGAGCCCATGACAATGTCTCATGCAGGCCTGTTTCATGGATCTGTGCTGGGAAGGCCTAAAGGTCAGTGGTGGAAGCTAGAAAGTCTGTGCCAGTGGGATGAAGGATCTGTGCTAGCAGGCTGAGGGATCTGAAATGGGGCGAGGAAGCAGTGTTCAAAGTAAAAACCAGAGCTCCCCGCAAAAAGTACCACAACCATTCTCAGCAACAGTGAGGTTCTGAGCTCCTCCCATGATGAGGAAAGCTAAGTGCCCATCAGGAAAGCCAGGGCAACAAGCTTCTCCAGGAGACTGAGCAGTGCACCATCTTCCCCTCCAGAGCCAGGAAGCAATGCTGAAAGTGAGGACCAGAGCTCCTGCAAAATGAACAATTACATTAATAACCGTTAGTTATTGTGGGCTGATCAGGCCCGCAATCTCCCAAATGAGTGGATGGCGAAGGCTTGCATAAATGAGATAATTGAAATGATTTCAGGGCTCCAGGGAGGTTCAACCCTATTATAGACTTCCAGGTTCTCTGGGTTGACCCTGAGACTTCCCTGCGTGGCCCATATTTATTAGGTTTTTAAATAAAGGAGGGGGATAGTGAAGAAAATGCAGGAATCTGGGCAGGACTTGGGAAACCCATTACAGAATTCCCCATGTAATACTTCTGTTAGTTTAGGAGAACTATGTTAACTCCGGGAAGGCCTTCACTGCAGGAGTGAGATACCTGCAGCTATGGTCTCCTCTGAGCTAATGGAGGTTGGAGCTGTGACCTTATCTTGTCCTTTGAGGCATCCCAACTTCACAAGCCAATACAGGCCTCAGTGGGGACCAATGACTCATGGAGGTTCACTTACTATGAGTTCACTGCCCATCAAAGGACAAGGGCCCAAGCCTTGGACAACTCCAAGTAAACATGGGAAACCAGTTGGTTAATATTAAATCTTGCTCAGAGCTGCTTCATAGCAGTCTCCATCAGTGAACCTTAGCCTTTCTCCACCAACAGTTGTAGTATGTTCTCATCTTCTGCACTGAATCCTTTGAAGGCCTATTCCTTTCTGACTGCCTGTAACATTTCTATCTAACTTAGCTGTCTATAACAAAACCCTGAGCCAAAATAATTTCTTTTTCTTATAATTGCAGGTGTAGGATGTTTTGTCCCAGTGACAGGAATGCTAACAAAATAGTCCAGAAATCTTAAGAATTGCTGGTCTGGGGGTAACACCATTAGGTCCACCTGGCAGGAAGCACACATTTCTGCCTGTTAAAATTTAACCCACGAGATGATTGTAGAGTAGATTATGGCCAGAGTTCACTTAGTTCAGGATCCTTTCAACCCTCTTAGAAGCTTTCTCTGCCTGGGACCTGTGGAAAGAGAGGGAAGATGATGGGAACATAGTCCTGGAATGGCAGCCACACACATAAAACCTTTTCCACTGAGCTGATGGACAGATAGGTAAGTAATGGGCTCATGCAGTCAAGTCGGGAAGTTCAACATTAGTACTGTGGGCCAGAGAGCAAGACTTCTGTCTGCTGTAGAAGTCACACTTTCTCTGGGAGGCCTTTTTGTCTTATGTTGGTTCTTCAGCTAATCAGATGAGGCTGGCCCCTGTTATGGAGAACAATCTGCTTCACTCCAAGTTGACTGATTCAAATGTTAATCTCATCCAAAAGCATCCTCACAGAACACCCAGGACAGTGTTTGACCAAATGTCTAGGTACCCTGTGACCCAAACTGACACATAGTTACATCAGACTCCATACCCTATTAGAGCAATGTTTCTGTTCTTAGTGTGTGGCCTGTGGAGATGGTCAGGAAATATTTGCTTAAAAAAAAGATTGAGTTGAACCATATGTACATATACATATGGTTAATGTCAAATTGCCATACATGTGAAACACCTATTTTTATTTATTTTTTTGGAAGACACACATTTTAATAGTTTTAAAGTAGCATATTAAAATAAATCAATAGTTTGTTCCCTTAGATATTTTAACCTCTGCCCCTTTTGTTTCTAATTTGCACTATAATACAGTTTTACATAACAACTAAGCCAGTTTAGTCCAAGGCAATCACTTGAGTACTCAAGTTCAAGAGCAGCCTGCCACACAGTGAGTCTCCAGCTCAAAAAAAATTTAGGAATTTGGAACAAATTATCTGAATTTGACTTTAACCATGCTCAGCTTACTTCTAGAATATTTGAGCCAGAGCAACTTTGACTCTACATGTTAAGTGGGTCTTCAGGTTCCCTAATGACCAGGAGCAGCCCCAGCCTGACCGCATTGGCCTGAGGGGCCCCAAAAGAAGGCTGTGTGCAGCCTTGGCTCTGGCTTCCCAACTGCGGCTCTGAGAGTTGACACCAGCTGCCTCAGCCCCTACGTGCTTTTCCGGTGCTGAGGCTGCCATCATGGAGATCCAAGTCCGTTAGTCTCTGTCCTCACCTGCTGTGTCTGTGCAGCTCTTTGCCAACTCCACTGAAGCAAGTGTTCTACACCTCTCAGCTCAAATCTCCACAGGGAAGTGACCACCAACCAGCCCCTTCTGAGGCCACAGTGAGGACAGTCTGCTTCCCAGCGGGTCTGTGGGCTGGAACATGTTCAAGCACCTGCATGGTGATGCTTGGTGCCAACAGAGGCAGAGATTCACATCAGAAAGTCAGTGGGGCCTTCCAGGAAGGCACCTTCCAAAGCCCATGACCAGGACTGAGGAGACTGCCTGTTTGGCTCATCTCTTTCAAGCTCTCTGTCTGCATGAAGCTTTTAAAGACTGAGTTAATACTCATCTGGTTTAAGGATTAGGTGTATAACATACAGAAATACCATATTGCTTTTTTCTTATTCTTTTTTCTTTGGTATTTCTTTTTGCAGTACTGGGGATGGAACCCAGGACCTCCTCACTGAGCTAAACACCTCCTTAATTATTTTTTGAGATAAGGTCTTGCTAAGTTACTAAGTTGCCCAAGATGGGCTTGAACTTGTGATCCTCAAGGCCAGCCTGATCTACATAGTGAGACTTTGTCTCAGAAAATAAGTAGCCAGGCACAGTGGTCCACACCTGCAACCTCGCTACTTGAAGACTGAGGCTGGAGGAACACTTGAACCCAAAAATTCTAGACCAGCTTGGGCAACACAGTGAGACCCATCTCAGAAAAAAAAAAATCTGGGTATAGTGGCATACCCAGTACTCTGGGAGGCTGAGGCAAGAGGATCACAAGTTCAAGGCAAGCCTGGACAACTTAGCAAGACCATCTCAAGAAAATGAAAAGGAATAGGGATGTCAAGGCCCTCGGCTCAAGCTCTAGTAATACCAAGCAACACTGCAAGGTAAACAGTTGGAAGCTTCCTCAGAAGGTGTTAGCATTGTTTAGTTCTGAAATTTGAAACAAGGCAACATGGAAAGTAATATTTATTCAATCAATATTTATTGAGAACCAACCATGTGCCAAGTGGTATTCCAAGGCCTGAGATACAGTGGTGTGCTCATCACATCATGGTCTTGCATCCTGAAACCTAAATGGTGTATATTCAATCCCTGTCTCCACACTTTTCTAGATCAGTGAATAGCAGGGCAAGAAGGGAGCCAGAGTCGAAGGCAAACCCTCAAGGTCTGCACCAAATGTTTTCTAATCAGAGCATAAATGAAAGCCCTTGAGCAACCAAATCACTTGGCAATGTGAATGCTCCAATTTGAAGCCAGCAGAGTCAGAAAAATGCTATAATGATATTTTAATGAGTCTACTTCTCCTTTGGTTCTGTAGGATTTCTTCTTCCCTCATCCTCATTCTCTGGAAGAAGAAACAAAAAAACAAAAGCTTCTAACAATTGCCTGTCAACACCTTAATAACTAGGTTGTCGTGAAACCTCCACAGGTCCCCAACATGAGGAAGGCTTAGCTCTGTACCACAATGTGTCCACCATCACCAACATCCAGGTTTTGCCAGGGTCCAGCCAAGCTGCACTACTGGAGATCCAGGAGATTCTGGAAAGCACAATATCTGCCTCTTGTTCCTCAGAACTGACAGTGGCCTAGATATCTTTAGCTGTAGCCAGCAGATGACCACCACATCATTCCCCAGTCCAAAGGACACTAAGTCCAAAGTCCAGCTTTGATGTACAAATGAGAAATTTCCACTGAAAAGAGATTGGATGTATACCTGTGGGACTCTCTCAAAGATGCTTCTGAATTCACAGTTTGTTAGTGTCACTGGGGAATCCACAGGTCCCCAACTGTGGAGACACCTCTGCTACTGGGAGATCCTGCAGCTCCACAAGACCTGGAGCCACGTGGCTGTGATGTCAGCACAGACTGTCCTGCTATGCCTGGACCCCACTGTTGCTGACCATTCCAGACTAGCGACACTGCAGGAACCACGCGGAGCAGAGAAGTGGTAGCGGTGCTAACCTCCCACAGGGCCTGGCCACAGGAAAGAGAGGAGACATGAGGCCGAGTCTCCTAGTGTCTAGGGTACATGTCTGGCAACTGGAAAGTATCATTCATGGAGACCCAAGTCCTGGTAACCTGGCTCATGTGCTGACTTCAACATCAAGGCTGCAGACTTTAGCTTCAGCAATGAGTTTACCACTGGCCACACACTCAGCAGACCCCTGTGCTGCTCTAGAACCCTTAGGGGGATGTGTGGACCATGCTGTCGCTCTATCCTCTCATGTGGTCACCACATCCCTGCCTTTGTTGAAGAGATCCATGGAACCGTGGGACTGTGCAATGAGCACCAAATGCCATGTCCCTTTCTTTACATGCACAGGATGTGAGAAACCCCTGATATTCAACTCAGTGGCACAGGTCCTTTAGATGACATCATGAGGGACTCATGGGTGACATGGGCCAGAAGGACCTGAGGCCATATGCAAAGCCCCTCCCTGACATCAGTCAGCTCCTTAAGCCACATGCGGACAAGACTCAGGACCCCCTGATGGGCCTCCAGGAACACCTACTGGAGGGCAGTCCCATTGTGGTAAAGCTCCAGCCTTCAGAGAGTTGACAACACTGCAGACCTCCCATCTTTTCAGACCAGGCCAGACGCTCTGCTGATCTCAAGCACTGGAATTCCCAGGCAGTGGGAATACACTTTGCTTATTACTGTACAAGTAGCAATGTGGGTATGTGGGGAGGACATGGGCTCAGAGTGCAAGGCAGCACAGCCCCAGCTCAACCAGGAGGCCTCCCCTCTGCTCACACGAAAAGCTAGAGCTCCACATGCAACCACCTGCCTCCGGGTGTGCTCTCCAAGGGACATCCCTTTAATTCTGGGCAAATGTGTCCAAAGCTAAGAGCTGAGGCCAGGTAGGTGCCACCAGGAAGTTCCTCAGCTTCTTAGTAGATGTCCATGTTTCAGGCTGACCCCCGCCACAGGGCTCAGAGCAGACAGATGCAGAGCAGCAAGAAAGCATGAGGGAACACTGAGCTTTGCTCCTTCAGCTTCAGATAAGAGCAGGAAGACCTGAGCTCCACAGAACCCTAGGAGATGGTGCAAGTGACTGCACCAGGAGACTGCCTGGGTACACAGTGCAGATGTTGTGTTCCGGGGAAACTTGTCCAAGGGAGAATGGGACGTGTGTACACGGAGTTGGCCTTGGCTGCTCAGGATTCAAGTCAAGACACCTCTGTGGTATGAAAAACATTGCATCCAAAATATCTGCTGGCTTTTCTAACAGGATACCTGGGAAACAAGAAGAAGGGCTGGCCAGCCCCCTGTGTGAATCCTCAGGTGTGGAGAAGGACATTCTATAGTTTACCTTTCAATGTATGACCGACACGGGACTTTGAGCCTGACCAAGCCATGTGATTGTTTGATTCTGGAGGAAGTCTAGCCAAAGTATTAGTGTGTAAGAAAATGATAGCAGGACCTTAGTCCTTGTGGAAAGCTTCTGGGACAACATTAGATGCTTTACTGAAATATGCCGAAGGAATGATAACATGATGGCTAGCTAAGTCAGAGTCCGGTTCTGGGATAATTAAGTGGTAATGTCCTTACTAATCCCATTTCCCCTGTTGCTGCTTTTTGTGTGAATCCCAATAAAAGGCCAAAGAAAATTATAAGTGAGGCTTCGGTCCTGGAGGCTGTAGCCCCTGGATCCCATAACTTTGTCTCTCTTGTTTTTATTTTCATCTATCATACCTCGTTCTCAGGACCTGTCACCCCACACAGAAAATGACCTTATACTGACACTCAGGTATTGGGCTGTTTTTCTGGGGTCCCTCTTCCTCTCCCCAGATCTTCTCTGTCCTTTTTCCTTGGTTCTTGGGGCAATGTTGGACAATGTCTTTGTGTCTGCCTCGAGCCTTTCTCCCTCAACTTCAAAGAAGAGCAAGAAGACCTGAGCTCCATGGAACCCTAGGATATGGTGCAGGAGACTGGCTGGCTACACAGTGCAGACATTGCATCCCAGCAGACGCTGTTCAAGGGGGAATGGAGGTGTGCTCATGGAGTAGACCCAGTGTAGGAGTTTCGTTAGGTTGGGATACAAATAGAGAGATAAGGACTCTTCCCTCCTGCAAACTGAATTAACAGTTTTAACAGCTCCTCCCTGTCTTAGACCCAGATTTCAAACCTGACCCAGAGAAAGAGTGTGTTGGAAGACCCTGCCTATTCAGTTTATTGGAGATGAGAAGTTGATACCTATTTGGCATGCTATAGGTTCTTTGGCACTGGCCTATAGTATTTTTTTTTTTTTGACTCTTAGGCAATCTCAGTCTTGGCATACCAGGAAGAACAACTGATTATAACAATTATATCACCTTGGGTAAAGTAGTATACTGAGCAATAAGAATAGCATCAAACACAGCCTAGAAAATGACAGACTGTGGTAACTATTAATTTGCTACCTTTAGCCATGTGAACTAGATATGTGGTTATATAACAAAATCTAAAACAAACCAGAAAATTGTATATAGTAAATATGTCCTCAGTAGGGCAATTTTACCCTCAGGGGAGAAAATTTAAAAGTGACTGAGGGAAAAATAGAAAAATAGAAGAGGAAGACATTAGAAGCAAGGCTGGAGGAAAAAGGAAGATTGTGCAAACTTTGGGAAACTGGTGAAGAAGACAGGAGGGAAAGAGAAAAGACATAAAAAAAAAATAACTGAACAACAGCAACAATGAAAACTAGAAACCATGTTCACACTCATGAAAACAAGAACAAGCAATCAAGGTAAAACAAAACAAAACAAAAAAAATAAATAAGGAAAAAAATGTCTAATTCAAGACATGTCTCTGCTGTCATTGGTAGACAAATTGGGCAGAGTCCAGATCCATGTCAATTAATCCCAGCAAGCCAGCCATAGATTTATGGCAGGGGTGTGGATAACCCCAGCAAACCTGCACCTTTAGATTCACTGAAGTTCAGGCTTGTTTCTGGATGTGAGTCTGGAAACCAATTTGTTCAGCCTGCAACACTCCGTATTCTGTGTTCCTCCTGCCCTCTTGAACTCATCTCCCCACCAGCTTGAACTCTGCTCTCTGACCTCCTGCCAATTTGAACTTGGTTCTGCCACATCCTGACACTGGGAGCCACTAGGTGGAGCCAGCCTGCAGCTGCTCTTGAGTTCTGAGCTCAGCTGGCCCCTCTCCAAGATGGCTACTGGCCAGTCGCCCTCTGCTGGGGGGTGTCTGAACCCTAATAACTCACTAGCTACTGCAGTCCTCAGCATCCACTGCTCCATTCCACTGGTGTGTTTCTCTGTGGAGGCCCCTGGGGTCACCAGTAGTCACTGGTGCACATCTGCAGGTTCAAACCATCTCTTCCATGTAGTGAGTCAAGGAGAAAGCCACTCACCATCTGCTTGTTCTTCAATGAGGTCTCTCTTTGCTCTTCCCCTGGGCTATAATTCTCACTTCAGATCCTTGCTGGGTCCTGGGTACCCACTTCCTTCCTTGCTGTATTCCAGCGTCTGGACACCAAATCTTGGAGAGGCTGTTTCTCTGCTGTTTACCACTGTACCGTCACCCAAGATAACCAGTTTTCTACTGAATTTATCCCCTTAGAAGCAAAACCCCATCCTTCCATCTACATAAGGGTGAGGCAAATAAAATGCTAGACTTCTTTCCCTTTTGTTATACACTAAGAGCTTTTTTCTTATTATTTTCAATAAACACTCTTCTACATTTCTGTTTTTGTCCTCAAATTTATTGTTCAATTTTAGGAATAGAGAATGCAGGTTTATACAATGAGCTGTGTATACAAAAATGAGCTGTGTGTGACACAACGGGAGAGTCAACTAAAGGTGATGGCACCAAGCATGTGGTGAGGACTGTTTCTCACTATTATCTGTGCAACAGTGGCAGTGAATCTGAGGGGGACTGGCTGGTGGGAGGTGGGCAAGGTGTTCTTAGGAGGCGACAGCTGAATTGTGGATGGTGGGCATCAGCTGACAAAGGAGAGGTGTGGAGAACACAGCAGAAGGGACATTTCAGCAGTGAGTGGTGAGAAGGCTGGTGCAGGAAGTTATGGCCATTGGAGGGAAACTGAGGCAGGAAGTTCTCGTCACTCTCTTCACCCAGCTACCTGGGGCACTGAGTGGAGGTTTTAGGTGCAGATTCAAGGCTCAGCAGATGCCCCATAGAACCCGAGCTGCAGGCCACCTGACAAACAGATCCCAAGGTCTGATTCATCCAGAAGATGTAGATGTCTGTCCTGACCCAGAGGAGGAGATTCTGGTGTCCCAATAAGTGTGAGCAGTGGTTGACTCTGTCCACCCTGCTGCCACAGTGGAGGGGTGGCTGGAAGTTAGGGTTAGGGTCAGGAGAGAGTGACTTTGTCTCACAGCACAGCTCATTGGCCTGTGCCCTCCTCTCCTTTCCGCTCTCCAGGAGCCAGCTTTCCACTGGGCCTGGAGAGCACTCGCTCCTTTCTCTCACATCTCTGCCTTCTGACTTGCGTGGAATCAAAGTGACAGCTACATTTCTTAGTTGCAATATCATTGGAAGAAAGTAGGAATTCTTTTTTCTTTTTAGGAATTCCTAAAAGTATGACATCAGCAAAGATTCTCACAGACAAGCAAATATTAGCACAAAACTTTCTCTTCAATGAACTAAGAGAAACCATTAGTGTAAATAAAATATGAGTACATTAAATATTGTAACTATTGTTATTCTTATTTTGTTATGAAATTTTATTTTTCTCATAAAATAAAAAATGAGGCAAAAAATTTATTAGAAAAGAAAGTAGGAGTTCTTGATAGGGTTAGGATGGGTTGTTTGGGAAAAAATATGATCTGTTTTGGTCCCTTCAGCCTTGAGAAAAGCTTGCTAGTGATTCTGGTTTTCAGAGTTCAAGGAAGCAACAAGAATCATCGTCCTCTCCGTGGGAAACGCTATGTTTCCTCTTGCTTTGCACTGCCGCCTGGCTCGTCTTTCTTTCTGGGCACCAGGGAGGGAAAAGGGATCCACTTTTCCTGTTTCTCCGCTTGATCCATGCCGGGCTGTCTTAACCTGTGCTTTTCACGATGCTACAGGCTTTAGAAAGGTTTTAGGTGAAACAGTCTTTAGGATCATATAGGAGCTATGTGACCAAGGAGCTCATGTGCTTTTTGGAGTCACCATCCAGGAAGGATAGTGAGAGAGGCAGGGCTGGCTTGGGGACTGTGTGAAGCCGGGGGCTCCTGTGTATATGAATCTCTCAGCATCAAGCATGCCAACCACTCCTTACCATACCCATCATGCAGAGCGGTAGGACAGGCAGGGCAGCAGGGACAGCGTTAGGGAAGTGGACAGAGAGAGACTTTACACTGGGCTTGCTGTGCCTGCCTCTCCCAGCTGGTGTCTTCTCTGTTTAGCTTGTGCTCCTGTAACTGTTCATCCACAGAAAAACCCGCCACCTCATTGCTGGATGTCTGTCACGCTACGTTGTCAGAGCACGCTGAACACTGCGAGGCACTAGAACAGCCAGGCCTCCTCTCCTCCCTCACCCTCTAAATGCTTCCCATGCAACCACAGCCTCAGGAAGCCAAGTGAAGTTGCTGGTGAAAAGGAGACACCAGCTTGCTGTTTAAACACGGGTTATGGCACAGCAAGTAGAGCCACACAACATGCCTGGCCCGAAGGCGTCAATGCCTGGCATTATTTTCAGTGGGTTCTGTGGACACATGGTGGTTTTATGTCTCCCAGGTGTGAGGACCTCTTTAGTTTCCCAGCATCCTTTAAGGGGGAAGGAGACAGACTTCATGCCCTGGGCGAGCATGCACACAGCTATATCTAGCTTGTGACTTGCCCCTCAGTAGCTCCAGTCTTTGAACACTCCCTTCTACCAGCTGGTGACTTTTCATCCCAGGTTTCCCTCTGCATTTGAGGTTGCAACTTCTAAGAGTCCTTGCCTGGGGTCAGTCGCTGCAGTGGGTCCCCTGAGCTCTGGGTCCCCGGGCAGGGACAGTGCACTCATGGGTTGGGGGTGGGGACTCCAGCCCTTCTCAGAGCAGCTCTGCCTGCTGAGGTCACTGAGGAGCTCTGGACAGCCCTGTGCAGCCTGTGGCAGGTGCTTCTGGCCACACTCTTGGCCAAGTAGCCCTCTGAGGCTGAATGTGCCTAGGACATAGCGCTCAACAACAGTGCTTTTCTTTTTTTTCTCTGCCGGGGATTTATCAAGAAAGAATGACAAGAACATCTGAGAGAAGAGAGGCTACTATACATGGCTAATGGGAAGATCAGGAACATTTTGTGGATGAGGCTGGTTTGAGCACGAATCAGAGGATGCTTCTTCCTTCATTGACTGAACAAATGCTCAAGTCCATCTACTGCACTTTATCCTCCCACAAATGACAATACATGGCTGAGAACAAACATGAGCGCTCACAATCTAGAAAGGCAGATAATCATCACATAATCATACAACCATAAATTTACAAGAGAATCCCGAGCGTGGTGGTACATAAGTGTAATCCCAGCACTCTGGAGCCAGAGGCAGCAAGATTGCCATAAGTTTGAGGCCAGCCTGGGCTCCATAGCGAGACCTTATCTAAAAAAAATGTTTTCTTCACTTTAGAAGACCCCCAGTTGTCCAATGGGAAAATGGTGAAATAAATTATGACATGTTCTCTGGATTTAATATATAGCCATTGAAATTGTCTCTCATAGTTGTGAAATGATTACAGTAACAATGGGTGTTTCTCAATAGCATACAAAATACAGAGTGCAGTCCTGCTTTATAAAGCTCCCATTTGTCTTACACAGAAAGGCTACATATGTTCCACACCAAATAGCGCCTATTGCTGGTGCTGCTCAGGGCTCAGCCTCAGAAAGAGTCATATCCCTTCCAGGAGGCCAACACGTTTGCATAACCACTGGATTTCCAACGAGGGCTTGTGCATGCTCTAGATGAGTGACTAGTTTTAATGTGGCAGGGCGAGGATGAGGGTCCTCGGCACTCTTCTTGTTGGGGCTCACAGAGCTGGAGTGTGGCCTGGGATGCTGTCCCTTGAGTGCCAGCTCTGCAGTGCTCACTTTTCTGTCTGCTCATTTTTGCCTGCTATTTCTGCAGACAAACGTGTGTCTAGACATGTGTGTGTCTAGGGATGCAGTGGAAGTTTGATTTGTGAGTGTTCCTGGGCATCTGATTAAACTCCTTTGTCACCAATCCAGGCCTGATGTTCTCATGTGTTGCCCTCTCTGCTAGAATCTACTGACAATGGGTGTTTAATCTGAAGGTTTTTTCCCTTGGAAGCCAGTGAGATGTTATTACTTTTATCAATTTAAACTAATTGTATGTTCCTGGATTTTTATTTTTAGAGCAATTTGGGGGTTTTGAATAAAAAATGAAGTTTACTTATTACAGAAGTACTGAGGTCATGCAAGTACAGGGTGGGGCGTACCTGTTACAAAATGGGAAGGTGCCAGCTTTCCCTCTGACCTGTAAAACTTTCCACTTCGAGAAAGTTTCCCTCAGGGGCTGGGGATTTAGCTCAGTGGCACAGCGCCTGCCTGGCAAGCACGAGGTTGTGAGTTCGATTCCCAGTACCGGAAAAAAAAATAAATAAATAAAAATAAAAATAAAAAGAATTTTTAAAAAAGAAAGTTTCCCTCTATGTTCAGTCACTGGTGTGCTTTAAAGAGCTCAGGGGCCACTTCAGGGGAGACAGTTATGCTGGACTGTGGGTGACAATGCTGGCAACCTGTCCTCTCTGCCCCCTGAGACTCATCCTGCTTTGTAAGTGGTGTCCCCATGAAGTTGGGGCTGTTTTTGCATTGTGAATTGAGGGGTGCTACTGCTGTCCTTGTGCCTCAGGTTACATCACAAGAGACCTACCCTCTGAGGCCTCCCAGACTTCATCGTGAGTCTGATGTAACATGAATACTGAGGATAGGTAGCAGCTGCCATCGCATTCCTGCTGGCCTCTGAGGACACAGAGTGACCTGGCAGGAGCTCATGCCTGCTGGACTTGACCCAGGAGTGGGGAGAGCCGTGTTGAGTGGTGCTCCCACAGCTGGCCTAGGTCCTCAGCGACACTGCTCCTGCCACATAGGGGTGTAGCTTGCGGCGAGAGTAGGACTGCTGCACGTGTGTGTCATCCACCGGATGGATGACAGTTTACTTCTGGGACTTTTTGCTTTATCAGTGTAGAGTTCGCCCCACCTGTGCTTGCTCTTGCCTGCCAATCACTGATTTCAGGGGTTTGTTTCAGGCACAGGTGAATCATTGTTGAGAGTAACAGCAGACTTTCCCGCCTTTTCACTTTCATGTTTTAATTGCATGTCCAGGAAATGATGGAATTTTGTTTCTTCAGATCTTGACCCTTGGGAAAGGAACCCAGATCGTAGGGTGCTGTCCACCCTGGTGCAGCAAGGCTGGAGGACCTGGAAGAGCTGGAGGGCGGGGGAGATGAGGAGCCTGCTGGGCCTGGGGTCCTCTTGCCTGGAGTCCGGAGAGGACATGTCGCCCTGCCTGCACTGTGGTCCCCACCTGTGCGCCACCTTCCCCATCTGTCCTTGCCCGTCCCACCTGTGTGTCACCGACCCACGGGCCCCCACCTGTGTGGTGCCACCTCTACCAGTGCACCACCTGTCCCCACCTGTGCATCACTTGTGTGGGGCTCCCGCAGCAGCAGCTAAACAGGACAGGCAGCTTCAAAAGGCAGAGGCCAGCTTGGCAAGGACCAGGCATTTTCCTTCCGAGCAGTTAACAGAGGGCTCCATACAGTAGGCCTGGATGGGCGAGATAAGGTGTAAAGCCACAGGCACAGCTGGGCCCCCCACCCCCACTGCGCGTGCACAGGGAGAGGGCGGGGTTAGCATGAAAAGGGGCGGGGCGGAGAGCAGGGCCCATGGGAAGGGAGGGTGGGCAGGGCAGAGGGCGTCTGGTCCTCTGGGCTCTGCCTCCCAGGGAGCTGGATGTTCCGGCTCTGGGTCAGACTCAACGCGGCCTTCTCACAGGCCACGCACTGTGGAAAGCAGTCCTAGGAGTTCTCTCTGTGGGAGGTATATATACATGATAGCAGTAAACTCAGATCCCTAGTGAAAAAACTAAAAATTCATCATAATCCTATTTTGTAACCATGCCAGTCTTCTCTGTGATGGACTGGGCATCACAGTGGCCCCAGTATCTGCTGAGCAACGTTCCAGACCGGACTTAAGAAATACAATTAATGGAATTGTGGATCTGATTGGAATCTTTCAATTAGAAAGAACGCTACAGATAAGAAGCAAACCTCGACACACTCGAGGACTAAGTGATAAAAATGTGTTAGTGCTAATAACTTCCTGACTGTGAAGGTTGTATTGTAGTTATCAAAGAGCCAGGTGTGGTGGCTCATGCCTATAATCCCAGCTACTGGGAAGGCTGAAGCAGGAAGATGCAGGTTAAAGCTCATCCTGGGCAGGTTATAAAGACCCTGTCTCACAAAAATACAGAGCTGGAGATGTAATGCAGCGCTTTCTGGGGGTAAAAAAGAGAAACAGAAAAGGTGAAAAGCCTTAGGCAAATTTTTTTTTTGTCATCTTTTTTGAGACAGGGTCTTGTTACACAGTTCAGGCTAGGCTTGAGTTCACTTTGTAGCCCAGGCTGGTCTCGAACTCACAACAACCCTCCTGCCTCAGCCTCCTGAGTGATAGGATTACAGGCGTGCACCACCATGCCCTGGTGCCTTAGGCAAACCGAGGAAAGAACTATAAATCAGTTCTTAAAATTAAAAAATAATAAAATTATGTTTGATGGCATTGGCAACACACTACAGTGTTTACAATGGCTACAGCACCAGTAAACCAAAATGATGTCTAAATTTTTAGATCCATACAGAATGAAAAAAATTGGGAAAATACAATTTTCAAAATATCAGTAACATTATATTTCACTCTAACAAAGTATTAATGACAAGTTGGTTGGGTGGATTTAAAATAGCTGGCATTTGGGAAGTCTGAGTACATAAAACTCAGCAACACTGATTTTTACTTGCAAACACCACTTAAAAATTACAGATGTAAAGAAATCATTTAAAATAGTACATAAATTTTCATGTATATGATACAAAATTTTTTTCTTTCAACAAAGTTTTCATGTCGTACACCTTATGGAAAATAATTACAACGTTATCTATAAAGTCCAAGAAATAAGATGTTATCTTTTTAGATCATGTATCTTCTCCTTAAAATCTCCTTATATTCTTGGGATGCTTCTGAAATTAGATCTTGACTGGATTTATGAGCAGATCCTCTGGGAGGAACTTTAAAGGCTTCCAGTTCAGCAGTAGCTACAAAGAAAAAGAAAGTTACAATCTTTATCTCAAGGACTTCAGTTAACTAGACATGAGTTATTAAAACAACTGGGAACTTTGTAAGTGATGGAGAAAACTGTGTATGTGCAAGGATAATACAAAATTACTACTACAAGTAATGTGTCTCTAGTTGTCTCTGAACTAATGATCATGTGGCTGACAGGACCATGCGCTAAGGTGCGGGAAGGACAAGATGATGATGCAGGGCCAATCTGACAGTGTACGCCAGACAGCCAGGCAGACTGCACACAGACACTGTGACAGGTAGAAAGGGGCACTGCTGGGCCACACAGAGACCCGCCGCCTCCATTTCATGTCACTACTGCAGGATTTTCGGTGGAGGTGATATGGAAGGCGGCACCAGAACGAGGGAAGGGGGACAGGAGATGGCTCATGGGGAGGCAGAGGAAGGCAAGTGGGAGGAGACAAGAATCCAAGGGATCTGGGTATTTTTATTCCATCCCTCAAGGCAAAGGTAAACCATGACAAAATCAGTGACAGGAGCTTTAAAACAAAACTTGTCGAGTGACAGTTTATGAGCAGGAACTGCTTGACTCCTCCTAGAGGAGTGGGAATTGGGAATTCTGGCCATGAGGCTGACAAGCTGAGGAAGCCTGTTTTTCAAGGACAGGGTCAGCCTGCAGCCGAGTCTCAGGGAACAGCCGCGGAGGGGAAGCGCTGAGCCAGGGAAGGAGACGCACAGGCTTTCTGAGACTTTTAAAAGGTATGAAACATGACAAAATGAGGACTCAGTATTCCTTTCTTGGAAATGTTT